ATGTACACGTTCCACACCAATTCTCCTCCAACCCCATTCAGTAGTTCGCTTTAGAAACATCTATTTCTCTTTTTTTCTCCTCAGAGAAAATGTTATTGTACGTCCGAGCCTCTTTCAAAACCTCATCTTTCTTCCTGCTAATGCCCCAACCTCATTCATTCCTTTTCCCTTTGAAAATCTTTATTTCTAAAAAGAATCCAGTGTATTTTTCATCATCATTTTCTACTGCATTCAGCCTAACAAAATATAGATATATACTTTGCCTTTTCTCTTTCCTTCACATCCCACCCAACTTTTTGCAGTCTGTACAAATGCATCAATCTCTTTCTCCACGTATTTCGCAGTCTCTAAACTCTGGCCCTTTGAAGCACAAAGTTAACAAAATGCTTATTCACTCCCATTTTAATCCATTTACACCATTCTCCAAAATGTGCCTTTCTTTTACTAAATGACTCACTTCAAGCCCCAAGATAATGCATTCATTTCTCAACAAATGCAATCGAAAGGTCTATAGCCTCCCCAACACCAGACGTTCCCCAACCTCTACTAAAATAAAACTGAGAAAGTGCAAAACAAAAACTGGAATCGGTCTCTGATAATATTAAATCATGAAAAATTCTACGATTTTTTTTTTTCTTTTTTCATAATCCAATAGCTTTAGTATTCATCGGCCCAAATATATAAACAAAGGAAAACTAAAAAGATTATCTACTCCCTCTGTCCATTTAAATAACAATTTCCTGTAGTCAAGATGTGAAAAGATATTCTCTGTAAAGCAGGTCAATGAAAGGACGTCATCACGTCACCCAAATTACATCAAGTCTCTGATTCTGGCTCTTCGGTTAGCTTTGCCCGCTGCTTTTCTCTGAAACGCTCTAGTTTTAGAAAAAAAGTAGTTCACATCTTCCCCTTCACGCACAGGTGATCCAGAGAAGAAATGTGACATTTCGGAACCAGATACCCGTGCAATTTTAGAAAAAAAATTGTGGAAGCCTAAGAATAGTGATTACACTCTTTCTGGGGATAACCCAGGTAACCGGAAAGGTTGCAATGGGAAAACGAGGATTGAGTGCCCTAATTTAAGGGACACTAGTCACCAGAACAACTACAGCTTATTGGATTTGTTCTGGTGAGTAGAATCATTACCTTCAGGCTTTTTGCTGTAAACACAGTCTTTTCAGAGAAAATGCAGTGTTTATATTACAGCCTAGTGATAACATCACTGGCCACTCCTCAGATGGCTGTTAGAGATCCTTCCTGGGTCATGGCTGCCTAAAATGCATCCAAACATTCAGTATCTCCTCCCTCTGCGTGCAGACACTGAACTTTCCTCATAGACATTCATTGATTCAATTCATCTCTATGAGGAGATGCTGATTGGCCAGGGCTTTGTTTGAATTGTGCTGGCTCTGCCCCGATCTGCCTCTTTGTCAGTCTCAACCAATCCTATGGGGAAGCATTGTGATTGGATCAGGCCACCACTTCTGATGATTTCAGCAGACTGCTTGTTTTTCTGAGGCAAACAGCATGCAGGGTTACAGCTTCAGGCTTGAATACCATACAATTTTGCTATTTTTAGGGAGGCATGAGGGGCCCAGGGGGGCTAGATGGTGGTTTTAACACTATAGGGTCAGGAATACATGTTTGTGTTCCTGACCCTATAGTGATCCTTTTAGGTTAAAGCATAACTTTTATTGATACTGCTTGACTTAACTCAGAGACTGACCCAAACTCTGTGTCGTGCTGCACTGGTATCTGGGAAAACGAGGATTGAGTGCCATTTCGGAACCACATACCAGTGCAAATTTAGTAAAAAATGTGGAAGCCTAAGAATAGGGATTACACTCTTTCTGTGGATAACCCAGGTAACTGGAAAGGTTGCCCTAATTTAGGTTAAAACATATCTTTTATTGATTCTCAATAAAACTAAATCAACGAAAGGAAATAGGGTATATTCGATTACAATTGTACTTTTGTGCTCAAAGTGATAATTAAAAACAAGATCTGCATTTGATAAACAAGGTATGTTAGCCTGCCCAATTTTAAATGTCCCTGGCAAGTCAGTTATAAACAATGTATCGATATACAATTAGTAATGTTTCCTAAGTAAGGTAACACCATTGTTATTATTCGTAGTGCAAAATGTTGCCTAGGTTGTTTAATGATACATTTCAATCTGTGCTCATTTAGTAAAGTCTGCTACTTAATTGTCTTGTAAGTGTTTCTTTCTAATAAATGAACCGATTTGTAATCACATTAAAAGTATATAATGAGGGATAAATAATTCAAAATAATTACCCGTGTGTCTAATTTCCTCAATTCCAACTCTCTTCTTGACCCCCTTCAATCTGGCTTCCGCCCTCTCCACTCTACAGAGACTGCCCTTATCAAAGTCACTAACGACCTAATCGCAGCTAAATCCAAAGGCCACTACTCCATACTAATTCTTCTTGACCTCTCGGCGGCCTTTGACACCGTTGATCATGCTCTCCTTGTAACGGATCGCCTGGCACCCCGACTGGGTACCTCCGTTGAAGGATGCTCCTAGCGCTTCCTGAGGACTCCAAGCACTCTGGCAGACACCACAATCACCAAACCGGAGAAACAAATAAATTCTCCCAAGCATATGAATGCTGTAGACAAAGCTGAATAGGAACCATAATGAATAGGTTTACTCTCCTAGCAGTCAAATCCGAACAGCATACAAATGAATCCTTCCCAAGAATGAGACGACACTTCACTTTGAGGGTTAAACAGGAACTTCCTGTACTGTCACATACAGTCTCTTTTATTCCCAATCCACAAACATAGTACAGCCCACAGGGCGTTACAAAACAACCAATCAATCCGTACAATACACCTAGACACTCCCACACAAAATCCCCCCCTCTGCAGGTGATATGATTACTGAACACAATGGGTAATCTCATTATCACCGGCAGAGGAATACAGTTTTTACACAATATTTATAACTTCTAAAATATACATGTCACAAACATAAAACATACATTTTCATAATCAATCCATTCAGGGGAACAACATATTAAAAAATGGCACGAATCAGACTAGGGGTTCAAAAGTTAAGGGAAAGTCCTTTGTGACTAAATGAAGCATGGCTTTCTGGCCCAAACCAGTTTCAGAGTCTTCTATCCTGGAGATAAGTAATTCAATTATCTCCCAGGACAGACACAAGACTCCATTAAGCACATGGTTGCAAAAAGACACAAAACACTTTAAAATACATAAAGTCACATTTACACCTAACACACAGACATTTCACATATCCCCAGATAGCTGGGATCTGAGTGCACATTATTAGATGAATGGCACTCAGATCACACAAATAAGCCTTTCTGCAGGGGAAATAAGCGGTTTAACCTGCAGGGCCATAGTCCAAAGGGAGCAGGCGAGCAACCAGGCTTCTCCAGTTCACAGTGGCGAGGTTGGTTTCGCCACACTTCTCCCCTTTACCAACTAGACTAACAGGGTATCTGACCTCCTGCCGGTCAGTGCCCTGGTTAGTCCAGCAACCCACCCACAAAACAGAAACAGCAGTACAGCCCACCCACAATAACTGGTTACTACACCTGGGTAGAGGAGAACTTTGTCCATGTCCAGGTGCCTCACCACGACTGTGTGGGCAACTGTTAGGCTGCCTTGGTGGGTTGCTGAGTGGGCAGAGACCAGCGGTACTCTGCCCTGATGCCAGTGCTACCACGGAAGTAGCCTGGTGGGAGCCTGGTTGTGGGAGGGAGAGACCGACTGTCTCCCCTCTGGATACACCGCTCTGTGGCTGGGGAACAGGACCGACTGTCCCTACTCCTTGTGCTGTAAGTGCAGAGACTACAGTCCCATCTGCACTGTTGGGGGGTGTAACATCTCCCCTTGCTGGGTTAGGCTGCCGCTGGAGAGAGGGTGTAACAAGCTCCTCTCTCTGAACTGTAAACTGCCGCTGGGGAGAGGGGGTATCAGGCTCCTCTCCCTGACACTCTCTCTGCTGGTGAAGAGGGGGACCAGCTGTCTCCCCTTTCATTATTTTGTCCTGTGGTTGGGGTGCAAGACTGACGGTCTCTGCTCCCTGCAGGACACTCTGCCGCTGGGGAGGAAGGACAGCACCTTCAGCTCCCTGGGGTACACACTGCTGCTGGGGAGGAAGGACTGCACCTTCAGCTCCCTGGGATGCACACTGCCGCTGGGGAGGAAGGACGGCACCTTCAGCTCCCTGGGGTACACACTGCCGCTGGGGAGGAAGGACGGCACCTTCAGCTCCCTGGGTTACACACTGCCGCTGGGGAGGAAGGATTGCACCTTCAGCTCCCTGGGGTACCCACTGCCGCTGGGGAGGAAGGACTGCACCTTCAGCTCCCTGGGGTACACACTGCCGCTGGGGAGGAAGGACTGCACCTTCAGCTCCCTGGGATACATACTGCCGCTGGAGATCTGGGCCAACCGCCCAGCATCGCTGTAGGGCCGGTAGAGAGACCGCCGTCCCATCTCCACCTGCCATCTGTGGGTCTTCCCAGGACCAGTCTGTGAGGTCCCTCAACATTTGCGAGTAAGGACCACCTGCTTCCGCACCTGGCAACTCCGGCTGCTGCTGGGGATCTGGGCCGGTCCCATCTCCACCTGCCTGTTGTGGTTCCTCACAGGACCAGTCTATGAGGACCCCTACTTCGGGTTCCTGCGGCCGCCTCAGGGGGAGACGGCTAGCCTCCTCGGATGCAGCCTCTACTCGGCTGCTGTAACACTCCTTCCGCTGAGCATACTCTCTCTCTTTCGCCAGCCGGAATTCTCGGGCCAGCCTTGTGTTTCGCTCGGCCGTGACCTGGTTCCAGATCACCCGGCGTACCTCCATGGGTAAATCATCCCCATACTGAGCCACTCGCTGCCTCACCTCGGCCATCCAATCATCGCCAGAGCCTTCCATACTTGTCTGCTTCAAGTCGCTGGATACCTCTGCTCCCAGGGGCGCTGCACGTGTGCTAGCGTTGCCCTCAATTTGTAACTCCACGAACTGTGTCTCTGAGCTGCTTTACCTCGCACTAGGACGCCATCCCACCGCTGCCACCAATGTAACGGATCGCCTGGCACCCCGACTGGGTACCTCCGTTGAAGGATGCTCCTAGCGCTTCCTGAGGACTCCAAGCACTCTGGCAGACACCACAATCACCGAACCGGAGAAACAAATTCTCCCAAGCATATGAATGCTGTAGACAGTTGAATAGGAACCATACGAATAGGTTTACTCTCCTAGCAGTCAAACTGGAACAGCATACAATAAATCCTTCCCCCAATAATGAGACGACACTTCACTTTGAGGGTTAAAACAGGAACTCCCTGTACTGTCACATACAGTCTCTTTTATTCCCAATCCACAAACATAGTACAGCCCACAGGGCGTTACAAAACAACCAATCAATCCGTACAATACACCCAGACACTCCCACACAAAATCCTCCCCTCTGCAGGTGATATGATTACTGAACACAATGGGTAATCTCATTATCACCAGCAGAGGAATCTGTTTTACACAATATTTATAACTTCTAAAATATACATGTCACAAACATAAAACATACATTTTCATAATCAATCCATTCAGGGGAACAACATATTAAAAAATGGCACGAATCAGACCAGGGGTTCAAAAGTTAAGGGAAAGTCCTTTGTGACTAAATGAAGCATGGCTTTCTGGCCCAAACCAGTTTCAGAGTCTTCTATCCTGGAGAGTAATTCAATTATCTCCCAGGACAGACACAAGACTCCATTAAGCACATGGTTGCAAAAAGACACAAAACACTTTAAAATACATAAAGTCACATTTACACATAACACACAGACATTTCACATATCCCCAGATAGCTGGGATCTGAGTGCACATTATTAGATGAATGGCACTCAGATCACACAAATAAGCCTTTCTGCAGGGGAAATAAACGGTTTAACCTGCAGGGCCATAGTCCAAAGGGAGCAGGCGAGCAACCAGGCTTCTCCAGTTCACAGTGGCGAGGTTGGTTTCAGCCACACTCCTTCTTCAAACTCTGCAATCGCTTGGTCTCTGTGACTCTGTCCTCTCGTGGTTTTCATCTTATCTCTCCCAACGCTCGTTCAGTGTCTCTTTTTCTAATGATACCTCCTCCCCTCGCCCTGTCTCGGTTGGAGTCCCCCAAGGCTCCGTCCTTGGTCCCCTTCTATTTTCTCTTTATACTGCCTCTCTTGGCAAACTTATCACCTCATTTGGTTTCCACTACCACCTGTACGCTGATGACACCCAGCTATATCTCTCCTCCCCGGACCTCTCCCCTGCTGTCCTGCAACATGTCACTGCTTGCCTTTCTTCCATCTCTGACTGGATGTCCTCCCGCTTTCTGAAACTCAATCTCTCAAAAACTGGGCTCCTTGTCTTTCCTCCTCCTAATATTGATCCTCCTCTCTCGCTCTCCCTTCAAGTTTGTGGTACCAACATCAGCCCATCCTTGCAAGCGCGCTGTCTTGGCGTCATACTTGACTCTGGTCTCACCTTTGAGTCTCACATCCAGCATGTTGCCAAATCCTGTAGATTCCATCTCAAAAACATAGCCCGCATCCGCCCCTTTCTTGCACCAGATACTACCAAGGAGCTTGTCCATGCTCTAATAATTTCCCGCATGGATTATTGTAACCCTCTCCTGCTTGGTCTTCCCAAAAGCCGTACTGCACCACTACAGTCTGTAATGAATGCTGCTGCTAGACTGATTTTCCTCTCTAGTCGTTTCTCCCACACCTCACCCCTCTGCCAGTCCTTACATTGGCTTCCTGTGTGCTATAGGAGTCAATTCAAGGCACTAACTCACACCTATAAAGCACTGAACAACTCTAGCCCCTCCTATATCTCCTCACTGATCCACAGGTATGTCCCTTCTCTGTCTCTCCGCTCTGCCCGTGACCGCCTCCTGTCCGTAGTCCGCACCCGTACGGCCAACTCGCGCTTGCAGGACTTCTCGCGGGCAGCTCCCTTGCTATGGAATAGCCTGCCTACCGCCATCCGACTCTCCCCTAGTCTTGCATCTTTTAAGAAGTGCCTTAAAACCCATCTCTTTAGGAAAGCCTATGGCCTCCAAGACTAACCCCTACCTCACTTACCTGTCTCTTGCCCTCCCCTAAAGGGCAGCCCACTTTTTTTTGATTGCACACTCCTGTCCTAATGTGTCTTACACCCCACCTCCTATAGAATGTAAGCTCGATTGAGCAGGGTACTCTTCAACCTATTGTTCCTGTAAGTTTATTTGTAATTGTCCTATTTATTGTTAAATCCCCTTTCATAATATTGTAAAGCACTACGGAATCTGTTGGCGCTATATAAATGGCAATAATAATAATAATAATAATAAAGAAGGAAGGATAGAGAGTCAGCCTAAAAATTCTGGCATCTAATGGTCTTTGTTATATTGTCATAACACTCTCAAATTCAATAGTGTGCCGAGGTTAAATAATGCTGTTTTTGTGCCCTAAGGGCACCTGCAATACATATGCATGCACAGATCGGGTCCTAGATAGTCTCTCGATCAAGCTGTTATTTCCTGGTCTCCTACTATGCAGATCGATATAGTGAGGAGGAAGGCGAGCTGCTATAGTCTGAATATAACTACTTCTGTGCCTTCCAGGGCACCAATCTTAAATAAAGGCCCGGTATGGATACTATTGTAGCTGTCTCCTATATCTCTGCGGCACAGATATATCTACAGTTGAATCATTGTATCAATGCTCAGGATCCTGGTTAGATAAACAAACTTTCTGATCTAGTAATAGTTTCATGAATTAACTTTCTACCAGGATCTCCAAGAGCCCCTGATGCGTTTGTTTCACCCACAGCTCATCAGATGGGACTCTCTATCCTTCTTCTTCAATTCTTTATCCCACATTATATACTTTTAATGTGATAACAAATCGGTTCATTTATTAGAAAGGAACACTTACAAGATATTTAAAGGGACACTATAGTCACCATAACAACTACAGCTTATTGAATTTGTTCTGGTGAGTAGAATCATTACCTTCAGGCTTTTTGCTATAATCACTGTCTTTTTAGAGAAAATGCAGTGTTTACATTACAGTCTTGTGATCACTTCACTGGTCACTCCTCAGATGGCTGTTAGAGATCCTTCCTGGGTCATGGCTGCCTAAAAGATGGTGGTTTTAACACTATATGGTCAGGAATACATGTTTGTGTTCCTGACGCTATAGTGATCCTTTAAGTAGCAGACTTTACTAAATGAGCACTGATTGAAATGTATCATTAAACAACCTAGGCAACATTTTGCACTACGAATAATAACAATGGTGTTACCTTACTTAGGAAACATTACTAATTGTATATCGATACATTGTTTATAACTGACTTGCCAGGGACATTTAAAATTGGGCAGGCTAACATACCTTGTTTATCAAATGCAGATCTTGTTTTTAATTATCACTTTGAGCACAAAAGTACAATTGTAATCGAATATACTCTATTTCCTTTCGTTGATTTAGTTTTATTGAGAATCAATAAAAGATATGTTTTAACCTAAATTAGGACACTCAATCCTCGTTTTCCCATTGCAACCTTTCCGGCTACCTGGGTTATCCACAGAAAGAGTGTAATCCCTATTCTTAGGCTTTCACATTTTTTTCTAAATTTGCACGGGTATCTGGTTCCGAAATGGCACTCAATCCTCGTTTTCCCAGATACCAGTGCAGCACGACACAGAGTTTGGGTCAGTCTCTGAGTTAAGTCAAGCAGCGAGCAACCACAACCAGCCTTTCTCGCAATATTAGAAATTTCAGCTGGAGAAGCAGCACCTGCTCTCTCCTGCATCATTGTAACTGCATCAGGAATGGTCGGTAAATCTGAATCCAATTCGCCAATGACAGATCCATCAGCTTACAAAACCAGACCCATCCATCTTACATTCTGCAACATGGTCTCACACCTCCTACAGAGTCAATCTGTCTGTCCATTCATCCAACCTTCCACTCTTCTGGCTATCTGTCTGTCCATCCATCTCAGATTCTGCAGCATTGACACTTCTCCCATTCCTATCAATCTGTCTCTCCACCCATCCATTCAGCTGTCCATCCATCCATCCGATCCATGCACTTGGTGTAGGCTCCATCTATCTCTCTGTTGACATCTGGTTGTGATGTGGTTTAGATATTGTTAGCCTCCAGTTTCATCACTCTCTCACTTAATGCTGCTGTATCCTCTTGATATGACCATGTACAAGCATCCATGCTCAGAATGTTTGCTAAATGTATCACTGAGTCTCACAGGTCACATGATTGAACATGGCATTCCATCACCCCAAACC